ACGGAAACAAAATGAAACTATCGATAATTTGAAGCGTATTTTTCCGGGCCGCGTCTACGGTCGTCTCGTTGACCTCTGCCAGCCATCGCATAAACGCTTCCTCATTGCCATTACTAAGGTTTTTTTTTCAGTACTTTGCACATTTATCAATTTTTTTGCAGTCATTTTTTTGATGCTCTTTTTTTCGCTGTACTCCACCTCTTCACATCGATACAACTAGTTTCTTCGTTTTGCTTAAGTCCGAGCTACAAGTTAGTCGAAAAAAATCAAAATTAAAATCTTCGATATTCACTCCGTGCGGGGGGCAAAAGTATTCAAAAGTAGTCTAAGTAGTCGCACATGCCAATAACGACCGTTGTGTGGTCGCACACGCCAACAGCGACCGTTGCTTGGTCGCACAAGCAACCGTTTCGTGGTCAAATATGCCAACAGCGACCCTTGTGTGGTCGCACATGCCAACAACGACCGTTTTGTGGTTGCATGTGTCAGCGCTGACCATTTTTGTTTGACAAGGCTGTTGTGGATCCTCACTTACAGAGATTGCTTTAAAAAAAGCTGATTGCGGGTTTGGTTCTCAGGCATGTTCCTAGCATACTGTGAGAACAAGCAGAGTTGTAGAGGGCCAGCACCGGCGGTTTCGAACTCCTGACGTTCAACAGGTGGGTTGTCCAACCTGCAGCTGTATGTATATTCAACGCAAGTATTCAGCTAAATTTTCCTGTTTGTTTTGGAGTCATCGCTTTCGAGCATTTCGGATACAGTCCAGTATTTCGCTTTGTTATTTAGAGCAGTATGAGAGGAGAAGGTAAGAATGAGATAAGACGTTTCGGTCCATTAAATCATATACGGTTTAAATAAGTCTTGAAAGTTGTAAGTTTGGAAGACAAAAAACTATAATGGAAATAGCGTGTAAAGTATTTTTTAAAAAAAAGATAATAGTGAAGGAATTTAATCAGTTGAACAAAATTTTTTGGTCCATCAAGTAGCACGCATTCCCTTTGGGCACCACAACTGGACTTCATCAGTATGACGGTTATAGACGCAAATAATCTGTTATGGTTTTATACCAAAGTAAAGTCGTAAGGAGCAGCATACTGACCCGTCGTACTATGCATCCTTTCTTGGTGCAGTTTGGTTCCCATTACGATACTCATGAAAACAGAGAAAATCTGCAGATATTGGCGAAACATATGATGTCGATTGTTTGCGATACCTCTGATACAGCTGCTGAATGCATCACGTATTTGAAGGAGCAACGTTTTGCCCGAGAAACATTTCTTCCGCTGGCATCACTACTTGTTCGTCCAATCAATGAAAAACTCAGGTAACAAAATCTTTTGCTCCGGAAGAATGTTGTGGTGTTTTTATCACTTTTTTTGACATAGATTCGTAAAAATCAAATTCGTTTTTATTAGTTTTTTATGCCTTTTTTTGCATCTGTGCAATGCAGAAGACGGATATTGACGAGGGGTCGTCTGTGTGTGTGTATGTGTATGTGTGTGTGTGTGTGTGTGTCTTTACCGATTTTTCATCTCAAGATCTATAAAAGCTGCAAAGCTGAAATTTATTGAACTTAATCTACATGCACGTATGGACTCCAATCCCCAAAATGGGCGTTCTTACCCGCGTGGTACCCACGTGTAGGCCCGCCAATTTTTTTTACGGGCAAGCTGCTAACTCGGGAACCAGAAAAGCTGGAAAGCTGAAACTTTAAGGGGAAGTCCCCTGTCCACGTAGGCCCTAATGAATTCAGGACCAGCCCTCGGGTGGCATGATACACACGTATGGGCCTGTGAAAGTTTTTTCGGGCAAGTTGCTAACTCAGAAACCTGAAATGATAGAAGGCTAGAATTTTGAAGAAATTCTTTCTGACAATCCTGGCGACCAGTCTGAAATTCTTTTAGCTAGAATCTGCCGGAAAAAAAGTGCCGTAGGCGAAAAATTTCTTCGGGAAACTCGGCAAAAAACGCATCTTCGCACTGCTAGCCCATGTGTTGGCCAATTATTTTTTGTTGATGCGGATTAATCGTTTTAGGGATATATCGGAACCGCGCGGTGTGCATCTCGTTTTTGATGTCATCCAATGCAATAATTCGGTTGCACGTAAAGCCCTGCAGTTTGCTTGCGGGAATGCTTTGCTCTGTGAAACACCAGAAGATGCGAAGTAAGTTTTTGAATTAAGCCGGACATACTTCCTTTATCGTGATTCCAACTATTTTTTCTTTTTTTTTGATTCTAAGCATTCCTCAAGCAAAATAATTATCAGGAGCTGTACAAGTAGCTACTATTAAGAAATTGCTATTATGCGAGTTTGTTTTGAGAAAAAAAAGTGCTGTTAGTTCTTCTGTCCCACAAAAAGAAAAATGAATTGGTTTCTGATTTATAACTTTTATGTTGCTCATTTTGAATTTTTTTATTATTTTTGCCATAAATTTCCACACCTCCAATTTCACTGTTTTTATTATTATTATTATTATTATTATTATTA